TCTTCCAAAGAGCCTGGAATCAGAAGAGCCCCTGAAGCCAGAACTTTCCACGGGGAGAGCTTGGGCCAGGCGGCTGGGAAGAGCTTCCTGTGAAGGGAAGATGAGCGCAGCCCCTCGTCCTCCGGGCACTTTCCCACGGTGGGTGGGTGGGTTTCCCTCCGACAGGGCAAGGGAGCCTTCCTTGGGTTCAGCCGTGGCCTCCCTCGCTGGCCCCATTTGGGCAGCAGCCGGCAGTTTATCTCCTCTCCTTCGGTCAGCAACCCACCAAAGGTCATCCCACAATGCAGCCTTCTTGAGGAAGAAGGATTGAAAAGGGGGCCCTGGACCCCCCCCCAAATTACACAAAAAGAACTCTCAGCCAGATTTTCTGCATGGCCCTTGAGCATGCACAGAGTTGCAACGTGACCAAAACTTGGAGGAGGTTTCAGTGCAACCACTCCACCCAGCATCCTCCCAGAGACCCAGGCCCAGACCCAAGAGTTGAGGGCCGAGCAGTGCCTTTTCCTAGCCCCCCCCAGCCCCGGCTCAGCCTCCATGGCTGCCTGTGCAGGGGGGGGGAGGGAGGGAGAGGAGAAGTGGGCAAGGGCTGAAGGGGCAACCTGTAAAGGGGAGGGGGAATCCCTGCTGCTGCTGGCTCTCCTGGCCAGTGATGGTGGAGCATCGGCAGACCTCACCCCCCCTCCGCTGCCCTTCCTCCCTGCCCCTCTGCTCCTTGGTGGGCTCTCAATCTGCCCGGCTAGAGGAGCTGAGCAGCTCCGGGGTGAAGGTCTGAGGCCTGGCCTGATTGTGCGAAGGGGCAGGCCCCCATCTTGCTGCTTCGGCAGGGGTATTCCAGGGCAAAAGCCAGGGAAAGGGCAATCCCTGAATTATTCCCTTCCTTCAGGGAAGGCATGCGCCCCTTGTCCCACACGGGGTGTGTGTGTTTGCGGGGGTCTGAGAGAGGATCCGTCTTCATATTGGGGGAGGGGATGGTTGAGGCGTGTCTGGCCTTGCAGTGATCCAGGGATGGGGCTGGCTCCCCCGAGAGGAGAGCAGGGCCAGCAGCCCTTGTGGCCACCTCCGGCTGACTGCCTAGGTCACTGCTCCCCAGTCGTACCTTCTTCCACATGTGTGGGACAACCACTCCCATCATCCCCAGCCACACACATCCAGCTTTGCCTTGAAGCCTTGAGTACATCCTGGACCAGCCCTTGAGCTAGATGTCTCTGCAGCAGCCCTCAGGCTGACGGTCAAAGAAGGCCGCACATCCCTGAGGCTTCCCTCCCTCCCTCCCTCCCTCCCTCCCTCCCTCTTTCTTTCTTTCTTTCTTTCTTTCTTTCTTTCTTTCTTTCTTTCTTTCTTTCTTTCTTTCTTTCTTTCTTTCTTGTTCTTCAGAAAGGCCAGGCTGAGGGAGGGGCCCGGTCTTCCCGGAAGTCTTCTGAGCTGCCAAAAGAGGGGAAAGGATCGGGCCCCCTTGCACAACCTGTCAGGAAGCCACAAGCGGCAGCGCAGAAGCATCTGCCAGCCGCCTGGCAGGGGTTCAGCCGGCCTGGCTCTTCCGTGGGGCTGGTGCAGGGAAGAGAAGCCAGGCGGGGGGGGGGGCGGCTGAGGAGGGCCATGTCCCCCCCGGCTGACTGCTTTCCTCAGCCGAAGGTCTTGCAACAGGCGAGGGGAAGCCACTCATGGAGGGGAAAGGGCAGGGCGGGGGGGGGGGAGAGGTTCACGCTTGGCTACAGAGGGAGGAGAGGCAATGAAGGGATGGCCTTTTTTTCCACCAATATTAAGAACTCCGAGGAAGGGCCTTGCCACCAGCAAGGGGGGGGTCTCTTCTTCATCACCTCAGGTGGGAGATTTACCTGAAGGTGGGGGCACTAAGGAAGAGGCAGCTCAGGGTTGTAGGTAAAGGTGCTGGGCTAGGAGACCCGTCACCCTGGAAGAGATGCTGGCTGGGTGACCCTGGGGTCTCTCTCTCTCTCTCTCTCTCTCTCTCCCTCCTTCCCTCCCTCTCTCTGTCTTTCTCTCTCTCTCTCTCTGTCCCAGAAGGGAAGCCAAGATGGGCAGCAACGGGCTTTGGGAAGTGTGGCCAGGGAAGCCGCACGGCCTGCAAGGGCCACAGCCATGACAAGGTCAGGTTAACCACGGAGCAAATCAAAAAGCCGGCATTTTGCTTGGAGGTGCCTCCCACCCGGTCCAGCCACAATAAAAATTAACAAACCAGAAGTAAATAGCAGCTACAATCACACCGAAGGAACGAAACCCGTATATTTTCAGGGGGAGGAAGGCGATGTTTAAACGGTGCCCCGATGCCGCTGTACCCCCCTCACGCTCACACCAGGAGTTACAATCACAGCTGAGCCCTAAATTTTTGTTGCCAAACAAGGCGGTCATTAAGCGAATTTTGCCCCATTTTACAACCTTTTTTGCCACAGTTGTTCAGCAAATCATTGCAGTTGTTAAGGGAATCAACAGTCATTAAGGGAATCACATGGCTTCCCCCATTGACTTTGCTTGTCAGAAGCCGACTGGGAAGGTCAGAAACAGGGATCACCTGATCCCAGGACAGGGCAGGTGCCCTAAATACAATGCCGGTTGCCAAGCGCTCAAATTTTGATCACGTGACCGCGGGAGATGCTGCAATGGTTACTTAGAATAAGAGAGTTGGGAGGGACCTTGTCGGTCATCTAGTCCAACCCCCTGCCCAAGCAGGAGACCCTACGCCATTTCTGACGGATGGCCGGCCAGTCTCTTCTTGAAAGCCTCCAGCGATGAAGCTCCCACAACTTCTGAAGGCAACTTCTGGCCCATGGGTGGATTGTTCCCACGGTCAGGAGATTCCTCCTTATTTCCCGGTTGAATCTCTCCTCGACCAGCTTCCACCCGTCGTTCCTTGCCTGACCTTCGGGCGCTTCGGAAGGCAGGTTGTTAAGGGTGAAAGCCGCTCCTGAGCTGCCTTTCTCGGTGTTGCTGTCAGCTTCAGACCGACCGAGAAGCTGGTGGTCAGCCAGGGACTCCCTGTATTAAGACTGGAGTGGGGCTTGGGGGGGGGGAGGGCAAACCCAGGGAAGGAGGGAGGGGCGGCCAGGATCCTGTTCCCTGGCTGTGCTCTGGGGAGCCTGGGAGCCTTTTGCCAGTGCCCTCTGCAGAAAACACATCTTGCGGGGGAGGGGGGAATCCCTAAGGGCTGGAAGGTGTCTTGTGGCCATCTAGTCCAATCCCTTCCTTTGAATTTGGCTTTATAACCCCTCTTGATGCAACCCAAGACAATGCTGGCCTTTTGGCAGTTGAAGCTTCTTATTGCTGGCTCATGCTTAGTTTATGGTCTATCCAGACTTCCAGGTCCTTTTCCCGGCTGCTGCTGCTGCTGCTAAGCCAGGTATATCCCTATCTTGCACTTAGTGCATTTGCTCTTCCCCCCCCCCCCACTAAGTGCAGAACCTTACATTTCCCAGACACAAACAAAATTTGGTGGATAAGATCCAGTCTGTCAAGATTCTCTTGAGCCTGGGACGTGTCTTCTGAAGTGCTGGCAGTTCCTCCCAGCTTTGCGTCATCTGCAGATTTTGTAAGCCTGCCTCCGATCCCCTCCTCTAAGTCATCTCCCAGGCAGTGGAATGGGGGTGGGAGCCCAGGCAGGGCAGAGCCCTGAGGAGCCCCCCTGGGGAGCTGCCTCCACGGAGAGAGACGGGCCCTTCGAGGCTCAGGGGTTGGCGGTCCTTCTTCGGCAAGGGCAAATCTGCCTGGAAATGCGGACAATCCGTTTCACACTCCTCCAGTTTATCAAGAAGGAAGGTGTCTTTTTTTTTTTTTATCAAATGCCTTGCAGGTAGTCCTCATTTACCAACTACCTTGTTTAGTGACCGTTCAAAGTGACGGCAGGGTGGAAAAAAAGCTCTATGACAATTCTTGCATTTGCAACCACTTGGTCACCTTAGGCTGCTTCACAACTGGCTTCTGACAAGCACAAGTGAAATCACAACTCACGGCCATTTGATGTTTTGTTTAGCAACTATGGTGCTTAACGACAGAGTTGCTGGCCCCAGATGTGTTCATCAAGCGAGGACTACTTTTACTGAAGAATGAAGGGCCTGCTTCCATCTCATTGCCTTGGTCCACCAATCATCTCATCCTTCAAAGAAAGCAATTTGTTGCACGACCTCTTTGTAACGCCCAATCCAGGCCGATGTGTCCATTGGGCAATTTCAAAAGAGTGGCCAGAAAATGGACCTTTTGCAAGGGGCGGTCAGGCACCCAGGAGGGAGCATCCCTGACCGGAGGCCCCTGCGGAGCCAGCCACGGAGGAACAGAAGCAGCAGACGGGCGAGAGGATCCATCCATGCCAGTTCTAAGGGAAGGGGCTCAGCAATGCGATCTTGGATGTAGGAGCTAAAATAAATTGGAAAAACAAAAACCCACTGCTTTCAGGGTTAACCGTGGCCCACCCTACAGACTGTCTGTTTATTTACAGAGCTCTTGTGGCTGCCCATCTCACAGAGCGACGCTAAGCCACCCACGATAATCAGTGCAGCTCACACAACAGCGATACAACTCAGTGAATGGCTGGGCACAGGTGCCGGTTGCGGCTTCCGGGGAGTCTTTGAGGAAGTCCCGTGTGGAGCACATCCAAACAGGAGGAGATCGAGGGCCCCTAAGGCCTCCTGGTCCAGGCATGGGTGCACTTGACACACAAGATGAATTTGTGTGTCAATTGCACCCCCAGCCACAGGGCCCCCCTGCTCTCCTAGAAAAGGGCTTCCAGGTGGTTCTAATGTTCCCTATTCAAGGTCAAAGATGTCAACTCTCCTGGTCGGGGGGGGGCAAAACCCCAGAGCCACTCTTGTCCTACTAGGATTGAGTTGCAGCTGGATCAATGCCCCCCCCCCCAACAAAGGCTGGAGGAGACTGGATAGAAGTTATTCGGTACTGATGGTCCCTTGAGAAAGGGCTGCACCGCTGCCTCCTTCAAGACAGACGGTGCCCTCTTCCCTCCCGTCAAGAGGCATTGACCACTGCCTGGACCCAACCCCGTGCCACCTCTTGATGGAGCAGGAGAAGCCTGGGCCCAGCTCATGGCACCCTTTCCTCAGGACTGCAGGCTCGGCCTCCTCCAGATAACCAAGAGAGGATCTGCCTTGGCCGCTTCCACTGTGGCAGAAAACATTTCTTCAAAAAGCGATTGCACGTCTTCCACAGCACGTTGAGGCAACTGCAGTAGTGATTGTCGAGGCATCTATTGGGCAGCGAGCTCTGCCAGGTGAACGTCCGGGGAACTTCCGGGCTGTCCAGCTGGCAGCTTTCTGGGTCGCTCTATGGTAGCAAAGATGTCAGATCTCTGAGGAAGGCAGGTTTCCATGGAGGGTCACAAGAAACCCCTAAGAGCAGTTAGAGCAGCTCAGCCGCGGAGCCCTCGGCCCAAGAGGGGGGTCTCTCAGCAACACCTTTCTTTGGACGGTGCAGGTGGCAGGAGATTGGACTTGGTGGGCCCCTTCAAACTCTACCAATCCCCGTTGGGCACAGAAGGGCTTTCGGGGTGGGGAGGGCCTTGTTCCGGTTCTTCCGTGTCCAGGCTGGGCATCTGCAGGGCTATGTGAGCGGCCGGACACTTCTGTCTCTGGAGCATGGTGGGCAGCACTCTTGGGGATGTTTTCTGGGCCCAGGAGCCCCTCGTTGCCAGCAGGGCCTCAGAGACTGATTGCCCTGTCAGTGCTGTGGCCCTCTGCCAGGGGGACTCGCCCCCAAGGAGGTACGGGCAAGCTTATCCATAGAGGTTTAGCCTGGGATTGATGGACTGCTAGTTGGCGCCCATGGCTGATCGGTTTGTGGGCTTTGCCATTTCAGAAAGGAAAGAGGCTGGAGGAGGCAGCCCGTCCGTTCTGCTGACCCGTGACAGCAACTTCGTCCAGCCTGGAGGTCCTACAAAGAGCCCTGCGACTTACATGGGCTTCGAACAGCTGCCCAAATGCAGCTCGGCTCCTGGAAAGCCCCACGGAGGAGCCCCATGGAGGGGAAAGTCCAGCCGGTGGGGGGCAGAGAGCCCGGCCCTGGACGACAACAGAGCCGGGAGCAGCGAAACTCAAAGCCCGTCCCTAAAGGACTCCCCCTGCCCGCTGCTGCCACGAGAGAAGCGGCTCTGAAGCAAGGCCGGAGCCCTGGGGACCAGGCTGCCAGTGCAGGAGGGAGCTGGCCCCAGAGGATGCAGCTGATCCGCCTCGACCTGGAAGCGGTGAAGGGCATCCACCCCTGGCATGCCAACTTCTCCCTGCCTCTGGAGAAGGAAGTTGGCTCCCAGCGCAGAGGAGCGCTCAAGGTGTGTTGCCAAAGAGCCTCCCTGGAGTGGAAGGCGGGGACTCCCCCCTGGAGGCCCCACCTGGCTCCCTTCCTGATTGAGTCCCAGGCACACACTCCCACCTGTCCAAATGGGGGGGGGGACAAAGCAAAGGGTCTCAGAAGTGCAGCAGCTCCTCCAGAGTCTTCAAGGGACCAGGAAGGTCCGTCTGTGTGCAGGGGTGTGTGTGTGTGTGTGTGTGCACGCCTATGTGCTTGCAACTCCAAGTGATGGTTTATTTATTTATTGAGCGTATGGCAGGAAATATATGGAGAGCAGGAGTGAGGCTATGTAGAAAGAACACACAGCAATATGATGCACACAGGAGGGAGATCTGTGGTCAATTTTGTGAGGTATAAGAACTTCAAGAAGTTCTATGTTAAATTATGTTACATTTTAAAATAGGTTGGTTCATGAAAATAAGACGAGTATTCTCTAATTTATTATCTAGGCCATTTATCCAATTAAGTGCGGTATTTGTGACCTGGGGAACGTCTGCTTCTCCTCCTGCATAAACTCTCAGGCGGCAGCTGGACACTACGCGATCCGGGGTCTGCCAGGGAGGGGACCGCAGTCACCTTCAGGGGGGAGAGGATCCTCAGCCCCATCTATACCGGGAGAGTCCTGGCAGGTGCCATATAAGCTTCGATTCCCGTTCAAAGTTTTCCAGCACGACCGGGTGGGATCAGAACTTTGTTTCGAGTCAGTCATGCTCTTCCCAGAGTCCGGGCGTTCAATGATCCAGTTTTCTGTCCACTGGGATTTTACATCAAGCTTAGTGTTATGCAGCTGCTGTGCAGATATTGGGCGGGGGTTTTTTTCCCCTGGATTTAAGCCTGCCAATTGATAGCTATGGCATATGGAAGTGCACTGGCAGTTGTGGGTTACTGACAATGGTTTTGTGCACTCTGAGGGGCGATCGGACTCGGCCGGGTCTTCATGATCCGCCCTGCGTTGTTCAGCCGGGCCTCCCGTTTATCTGTGTGGCAGCCGCTCACCCGGGCAGGGCCCAACGTTCAGCTTCACGGCCCGGCAGCCCCGAGGCCGAGGACCTGGGCGGAGAGGCCGAGGCTCCCCGTTGAGCTCCACTCTGTTCATTATGGAGCATGTTGCCTCTCGCATTAACTTCCGGCAGGTGTTTTTTACAGCAGAGAGCTTGCTCCAGCGTTACACTGAGGCCTTTGGGGAAAAGTGCTGTCAGGCAGCCGAAGCAGCTGAAGGCCAGACAAAGAACGACGGATGGAAACTGATCTAGGAGAGATTCAATCTGGAAATAAGGAGAAATTTTCTGACAGTGAGAACAATCAACCAATGGAACAGAAGTTGCCTTCAGATGTTGTGGGAGCTTCATCACTGGAGGCGTTCAAGAAGAGACTGGCCGGCCATCTGTCAGAAATGGTGTAGTCTCCTCTTTGGGCTGTGGGTTGGACTAGATGACCTACAAGGTCCCTTCCAACTCTGCTATTATTATGTTACGTTATTATCTTTCTTGCTTGTTTGTGGTTGAGTTTGTGGTCACACACCGTTTCTGTTCTGCTCCTGCTTGGGATGAGCCTCCAGTCGGGGAAGACCTTCCCCAGAAGGTCTTCTGTAAGGTCTCCTGGGAGGGAGGGAGGGAGCGCTCACCATCTGCCTTGCGTCTCTCTGGGGCTGCCAGGCCAGGTCGTCCTAGGCCTGGGCAAACATCCGTCCTTTGGCCTCTGACACGTCAGGTATGGACCATGGGGGAGCCAGCCCAGAGCCCTGTGCCAGGCCACGATTTAATCTTCTCACCTTGCCTCTTCCCCTCCCGTGATTATTCAGCGTATGGTTAATGAGGTGGGTGGCCTTTTGCCATGGGATGATCGCCTGCAGTTGGTACAATAAGGCTTCCCTCCTGGCTGCATCCACAAAAACTACGGTGGTTTTAAGGCTGCTAATGAGTGCCTGCGCAAGTCCCCACAGTCTCTTGGCCAGGGTTTCTGGAGGCCAGTTGCCTCCTTCTCCCCGGGGCTGGGAGAGAGGGGCTGCTCCAAGGTCACCCAACTGGCTTTCATGCCCAAGGCAGAACTCAAACTCACCGTCTCCCGGCTCCTAGCCTGTTGCCATAACCATGCACAAAACTGGCTCACCAACCAGGATGAGGGCCTGGAAATCCCCAGGCAAAGCAGGAAGAGAAGCATCCCCTCCCTTCCCAGTGCAACACAACACACAGGACCTTTCCTGCAGGGCTGCTGCCTGCTGAGATGCCTTCACCGTCTCTCTCTTTTAGCATTATCTGCCCCAGAGACCACGGAGGGGGGGAGGAGAGAAGGGGTTCTTTGGAAACCAAGGAAGGTGCACGGTGGGCAGCTCTGGAGAGAGGCACCCCTGGGGTGGGGGGTCCTTCAGCCAGGCACGCGCTCCATCAGCAGTTTTGCAACTGAAACTCTCTTGTGGTTGAAGATTGCATCAAAGTGGTGGTTAAGGCAGAGGCTCCTAGATCACTGGGGGGGGGGATCCTGGGCCGTGGAGGCTCTCCTGCGGGGCGTGTGTGCGTGTGGCTGACAGGCTGAGCCAGGAACCGGCAGGTTGGCAAATACCCACGTTGCCCCAGCCCTTCCTGCCCGGCTCTTGCTCACTTTGTGGGCCGGATTGCTCCAGCGCTACCCCGACTTTCCCAACTCTTGTGTCACAGTCACAAGGCTCCCAACGTGCAGCAAGACTGGGGTCCTTCGTCTCACTGGCAGCCCCCCCCCCAAGCTGCTCTTCCTCATCTGGGGGAAGCAGTAAGGATGGATCCAGGAGAGCACCCAGCATGGAAATCAATAGCTGAGAGATTCTCTCCGCCCCCCTGGCTCCTCCTTTGGGTCCAGGGCAGTGGAAGAGGTTCAGGCTGGGGGGGGGACTCCCTGCAAGATGGGGAGCAAAGGCTGGACGGGTGACCCAGAAAAGCAGCTTCCTCCTCAGCTGCCAAAGGCCTAAGGCTGCCTGCCAGGCATGGCGTGCGAGGCTGGCAGCCCCGGGGGGGGGGCTTTTGCCCTCCCCTCCCCTCAGCCACACTGCTGGGGGGGGATCCCCTTCCCCAGGCAGCCCTGAAAGCCAGGTGGCAGCTTGGGAACACGCAGAGCGATGGTGGTTTCCTCCCGGGCGAGAGTCCCCCAGGCCAGGGTGGGACCATTAGCTGAGCCCGCACATTCCCCGGCTGTGCAGGCTGAGGGGTGGGGTGGGGAGGCACCCCCAAATTGGGAGCGATGCCACTTGGGCACCTTTCCTAGAGATGCCATCCTCCGAGTGCTACCAGCCCAACAAGTTATGCCGCTGGCGAGAGCCTGTGGAAATTGTGAGCCAAACAACCTCACCGCCTGACTCTGCCCCGTGGGGCTCCAGATCCAGCGGCTTTCTCTGCCTGGTGTTGCAACTGCATGCGTGAATTCCTCACATATTTAGGCTACCTGGAAGCCATCATGGCTCCGGGCTGTTTCCAGCGACTTGGTTGGCCGCCCACCCGCTGTGTGGCAAAGAAGCCGAGACACACGTCCTGGGAGACACCCGGGAAGGTGCTCTGGGGGCATCCAGAGGACCCCTGTGCGGGAGAGGATAGCGGAGGGGGGCCGGAAAAGAAGACCCCTCCCCAAGCACCCTGCCTAGGGGCTGGGGCCGGGCCTCCTGGCTGGGGAGGGCGGGAGGGGCTCCACACGGTCTCCCCTGACTCAGTGGCCAAAGGCCGCTTTGTCCCCCTACCTAGACGGCCACCTGCACACTGGACTAAACATGTTTCTGGGAGGTTTCAGACCGGCTGGTGAGTCCAGCAGAGAGTTGGGCGGATCAGGCAATATTAGGGGGTGGGGGATGGAACGATGTCTCCCACCCTTGGAAATACAGCTCATTCAGCTATTTGAAAGCAGTGGCCCTTTCCCCACGCCTAAGAGGAGGCTTCTGTGGGTCAAAGGAAAAGCAACGAATGACCCCCGAGAGAGAGTAACCTCAGTGGGTGCTGGTGGGGAACGGTCTTCCGCAGGTTTTGCACCTCTTTGCCTCAGCCACCACCCCCCCCCCAGAAAAGGTGCCCGACTTCTGGTGGAGGGAAATGGAGAGCCACAAGTGAAGCCGAAATTCTCCCTTAGGGGATTTTGCCTCCCCCCCCCGAATTCCAGCTGGGATTCCGTCTGTCTGTCTGACCACAGAAAAGCCACACTTGAGCGCCCGTCAGCGGCCCTGGCAGAAGGGAAGCGGCGCTGGATCTCTCTCGCTTCTGCCCAGTTCAGCTTCTGCTCTGGCAAAAAACTCTTTGGAGGGTTTGAACCGGCACTGGGAATCGGTGGGGTGTCGCAGTCAAGGGGCTGACCTGGAAACCGGCAGACCCTCCGTTCCAGTCCCACTTAGGTACTAAGCCAGCTGGGCGACCGTGGGCCAGTCCCTCTCTCTCAGCCCTCGGCAGGAGGCAATGGCCAACCACTTTGGAAACACCTGGCCGAGAAGACTGCAGGGACTCGTCCAGGCACTCAAAAGGAGTTCACACACATACACAAGCACACACAAGCAGCTCTGCCACTTGGCCTGCAAACGGCTGCTCCCCTCCTGGCCTGCCTGGGACCCCAGGGGCTGCAGAGCCACCTCTTGAGAAGACCCGCTGCCCCAGCCCTGGGGCTGGAAGGGTCGTGGGGCCGGGGGGGGGCTTTCCCAGAAGCTCTGGCTTCTTGGCCCCAGATTCAGAAGGGAGCCCTTGTGCAGCACCTCGTCTGTCCCACACAGCGGCAGCTGCCCGGGGGGAGACAGGATGTCCCTGGATCAGGCTGGCCGGGCACTCTCCTGGAGCCCCCCCGTGGCCCCTTCTGCCTGCAGGGCCGGTGAGGCCGCCCGGAGCCTCCTCCTCCTCCACAGAGGCGGCAGGCAAGGGCAGTCGGTGCAGCCGGCTGACTCAACCTCCCCGTTCCGTCTTGGCAAGTGACTCCCTACTTGCACCCTTTCTCAAGCAGCCTCTCAATCATCAGGGAGAAGAGCCGCCCGTGTCTCCCCTGCCCTCCTCTTGCATCAGGCCAAGACGGCAGGAGAACATTGCGGCACCACCGAGGTGACCCAGGAGCCTCACCCCCTGGGCAGGGGGAGGAGCTGCCGGTTCGCCCTATATAAGGTGGCTCCCAAGTCCCTCGGAGCTTCATCTGACCTCAGAAGGTTGTCCAGAGACGTCCCGAGAGCAGCTGAGAGAGGAGCGCCAGAGACCATGGCCGGTGAGTAGCAGGCAGGCTGGGCCTGGGGGCCACCAGCGCTCTTAGGATGCCAGGCCTCCTTCCGGGGGAGCTCCGAGCGCCCCTCGCCCAGCAGACCGGTGCCAGGGCTGTCCAGCACAGGGAGTGGGGCTGGCACCCGTGGCGTCTCTGGCCCCCCGCCCTTCCCCACCCAGGGATTGGAGGCCCTTTTCCTTTGCCCCTGCACTGCTGCCACAGGAGGGAGAAGAGCAGGTGGGGACACTTTGGGACGGCGCCACCCATCATGGAAGGAAAGCGGGAAGGAGCTCGGGGGGGGGGGCAGAGGACGGCAGAGCGAGCGGTTTCAGCACCTCCCTGGGCTCCGCTGTGCAAGGGCTGCCAGCCAGCCTCAGCGCTCAAAGGCAGCGAAACCCCGTTGGGAAGGAAAGACGCCGCCAGCCACGGCTTCCTGCAGGGCTTTGACCCAGGGCTGCAGGACATTCTGCCCGTGCAGGAGTGCAGGCTCACCCAGCGGGGGAGAAGGGGACACCCGCGAAAGACCCACGATGGGGAGGGGAGGCGGTGGCAGCCGGGCACAGCCCCTGCAAGCAAGCCAGCGCTTGCCAGATGGGTTGGGCTCAGCTCTCAAGACTGAGTCTCCCTCCTTCGGGGCGCCTTCCCGGCCCCGGTCTAAGTCAAGAGGAGTCTGGGAAGGTGGGACAAGCCTCCTGCCTCGGGAGGGCTCGGGGTTGGGGGTCCTGTGGCCCTGCCGCCCCCTCCCCACCTGCAGATTTATTCCCAGCTTTTAGTGGGCGGGTCCAGAGGAACCTTAATGAGGACCTGGAGGATTCTCCGGACCCTTAACGAGGGCTGGGGAATTGTGACTGATAGTGAGCTGGTGGGGGGGGGTCCTAGGTTTGGCCCCCGACCTCAGGGGCTGCCAGTGCAGAGAAAAGTGACAGAAAGTCCCGCCATCAGGTCCGGAGGCTGCGGGTGTTTGTCTGTGGCTCTCCCCCTCCTCCCCCTCCTTCTCCCCCTCCTCCTCCTCTCCCTCCTCCTTCTCCCCCTCCTCCTCCTCCTCCTCCTCTCCCTCCTCCTCCTCTCC